GCCGCCCCTTCTCCGCCTCGCCCCGCCGGAGCCCGCGGAGTTGGTGCGGTTCCCCCGGCGGCACTTTCTCTCCGGCCCCGGGGCTGAGCCGCCACCGCCCCCCGGGACCCCCATGGCACCGCCGCGATGTTTGTGTCCCGGGTCCTGGACTTCCAGAAGACGCGCTACGCCAGGTAAAGCCATCGGCGCGGCGGTCCCCGACCCCCGCGTGCTTGCGGAGCCCCAGGACAGCCCCAGCCCCTGCCCGGGCTTGGCTCCGGCGGGGATGGAGCCCGAAGGAACCTTCAAAAGCTGCTGAGTGCCCCAAAGCCCAGGGCAGGTGCGGGCTGGTCTTTCGGGAGAAGGCTGCCCGCTTTTCTGCATCCCTAAGGGATTCTGAGCATCCTTGGGAGCCCTCGCTGCCTTTCGCTGGGTCTAACTTCGCCGTTGTCCTCCCGCTGCCAGGGGACCAAACCCACCGCTGGCTGCAAACCCTCTGTGGAGGGACCAATGTTGTCCAGGGTCCCGCTGCGCCCAGGTGAAGCCCCATCAGGGTGGCTCCCCCAGCCTGGACCTGGGGGCTCTGCAGGGCTCACAGGGGATGCAATGGCGGTGGATCCTTTCCCCCACTCTGTGAAATACCCCGGGAGGTTTTCCAGCAGCAGCAGGGACTTGTTTTAGCAGCTCAGGTGTGTTAGGAAACCTCACGGCATTACCTGCATAGAGGGAAACCTGAGGACTGCTGGACACAGGTCAGAGGGCACTTGGCCACGCATGCTGCTGTGGGATCAGATGTGGTCTTTAGCAGGGAGCTGGTGGCTGACACAGGGACAGAGGCCACCTGCAGCCCTCTGGCAGGCTGGGTGGCCAAGGATGAGTCAGATCGCACAGCGCTGGGTGATGCATGGCCAGATGGGGCTCAGGGGGGTGCTGGGGGTGCTCAGTTTTGCACCGAGGACAGGCTTTGTCCCCAGCTCGCTCTGACTGTGGTGGGGATGTTTTAATGGCCGTGGAGGGTCCCACAGGCTGGCGCGGTTCCTGGGGGTATTCAGCACTGCTGCTTCCACTGTCGGACTCCCAGTGGTCTTGTTAGAGTCAGATACCAGAGAAAAACTTGTCTGGAAAGGAGTAATGATTGTGTTTCTTGCCTGCTCCAGGCAGAAGCATCCCTGAGGGAAGTTTGCCTGGGCTGGGTGAAGGCAGGAGACCTCCCTCCTGCCACCCCAAGACACCAGCTCCTCTCCTTCCAGGTGTCCCATGGGGAAAATCCATTCTTGCATCTCCAAAAGCTGCCCGAAACGTGGGCACCTGCTCAAAGACTATTTTGATGCTGTAGCTGCCTCCTGATAACCTTTACCTGGGGGAGATGCAGGAGGTACCCAGCAGGTCTACACAATGCATCTAGTCCAAAACTCTTTGCGAAAACAGAGAATTCAGAACTGTTTTTCCCAGCTGGCATACGAGGACAGGGCCAGGGGGAGATGGAGCCAAGCAAAGCTCTGTCACCCCAGAGGAGGAGGAAAACTGTACCTTTGCCCCACAGTGGTGGTGCAGAGGCTCTTCGGGAGCTGGGCAGCAGAGCAGGAGGTGGCCCCACCTCAGTCCCCCAGCCCGTTGCTTGATTTATCCAAAATTAGCATGCTCAAAATTTTTCATGGTCCTTTCTGGAGACAACTTGTTAAATGTGGATGTGCTACAGAGTGCCTTGCAGGGATAGAGCCCACGTGCGGGCAGGGGCTGGCAAGGGTCGGCTCCACAGGGCATCCTCCACCTCTTGCTGGGTCCCAGGGCTGGATGGGGAGCAGGAGATGGGTGCTCCCTTGGCTTTCACCACAAGACACACCAAGGCAATCGCCAGCACAAGATGCTAACCCAGAGCTTCCTACATCACCGCAGAGATCCTCTTAACCTAGTGCTTAAAAATAACAGTTGGCTGATCCCCGTCCCCCCCCCCCCCCCCCCCCCCCCCCGCTCCACACACACTAGCTCTCCTCTCCGCAGAAATGCTATGCCATGGCAGATCCTAAAAGCTGCTCCTTCTTTTGTGTCAGGGATGCTCTGTCGGCCTCCTTGAGCTGTAAGTAACAGGGACTGGCCTCTGCAATGGCAACTAGTGTGAGCAGGAGCCACGGGGCTCACAGTGGCACAGGCCCTCCAAGGCATCAGAAGCATTTTGCGACATCTTTTCAGAGGATAAGGAACTCTTGTTTGTGGCCTTCCTCGGGGGGAAAAAAAAAATCAGAAAGTTTTCCTTGTGGTGGAAAAGCATGGAACAGCTTCATTTTAAATGTTGTTTTATCTAATTTTGAGTGAGGACCAAGAAAGGAGAAACTTGGCCATCAATACACCCGCCAAAAGGAATAAATAAAAAAAGAACATGGTGATGAAAGACCTGTTGTGTGAAAGCCACAGCAAAGGCACCGGGCTTTGAACAAAGAGATGAAAGGCAGCAATCAATGCGGACGCATTTCACGAACTGCCAGGAGAAAACTTGGGGCTGGAGGGGCACTGGGGTGTCCCTGAATCCCTCCTGGCTGGGCTTTGGAGCCGGAGCATTGCAGCTGGGGTGGAGGGGAAGAAAGTAAACGGAGGGGTTTGTCGCCGTCGTGGGAATAGGGATGCATGGCAATGCTGTTTGAGCAGGTTGTGGTTATAAAGGAAGCTGTTGGTGGTTTCTGCTCTGCTGCAGGGTCCAGGAGGCTATTCCATCGTCTGCCACCATGGGGAAAGGGAGTTAAAGCATGCCATTGCTGCAGGGCTTTCCCAGTCGGTCACAGCCTGCACCGGGGCAAGTGGTAGCCACCTCCTGCCTGACAGGCCAAATTCAGCCACGATGCTGGCAGCAGCATGCAGTTACGGGGTGCAAGCAGATGTGATTCCTCCTGTTTTATCCAACCACCACACAGTTAATCCCCCGTTCTCCCTCCAACCTTTTGTCTCCTCCTCCCTTCCTCCCAGCTCACCAAAGCAGTGTTGGTTTCCCACCAGAGCAACAGATCACTGCAAGTTGCATCTTCAGAGTCTCATCAGCCAGGTTACACCGAGACAGTAACCAATCCCTCCCTTCCACCTCACCACCAGCTTTGATCCAGCTTTGGCCCACTTTTTATTCAGACGTGGTCTGGTGCCTCCTGCCCACGTAACTACCATGGGGCTGCGGCTCAGCCCCAATCTCCCTGCAGGGACACAAAATGTTTCCCGGACTTTGGCCATCCGGAGCCATAATTGAAAGGAAACATGATTAAGCAGGGAGCTGCTGTATCTGGGTGGCTTCAGCAGCTCCAGAACAGCCGGTGGAGAGGGGTTTGCTGGGAGCTGCAGGCTGCACAGGGCACTGAATCATCCTAATTAACTGATAGCAGCTCACAATTTGATTTGTTCATGTAAAAAGCTCTAAATCTTATTGCATTTGCTTGTCTTGTCCTGTGCAGAGTAACAGAGAGGAGCAGCCAGGAAAATCCACAATAATTTCTTAGCCCAGAAGAAGCAGGATATTAGGGAGAGCAGGGGCCTCTGTAGGTTTATGGTGCAGGCTTGTCCTCACCTGCCTGGTGTCTGCAATGTAGACACTGCCACCTCCTCACCGGCATGAGGGGATGGAGATCTGAACTCTACACTTGCTCAGAAGCAAATCCTCCAAGTTTGGGGAAAGGCAGCTGGGAAGACTTTCCTTGTTGCTCCCTGCACCTGTAATTACTGAGCAAGGAGACATTCACCAACCCCTCCTCCAGCATCTCCAGGCAAGAGAGGGAGAGGAGAGCCAGCAGGA